AGTCTTGAACTCCAGCACAAACAATTGTTGTCTGATCTCTGGGTGGAGACCCCACTCGAACCTTCTAGCCTTCCTGCCTTCATCCAATAATGTCTCAGGGGAATATCGGCTAACTCTAGAAACTTGCGAGCATATTTTGACATAGTTATGTCTTTTGGACCAACTGTATAAACTCCATGTCCTTCAGATGTCGGAGATGCTCTATAAGGTACTCTGCATGAAAGGTCACCAGGAACTGTTCCCAAGTAACTGGAATAAGCAGGGTGGTCTGTTTGAGTTTCCACCAATGGTCTGCTTCTCCCACTAGCATGTAGGTGGCAATGTTGACTTTCTGCTCGAGAGTCACTTATAGGGTCTTGAAGGCCTTCTCTGTCACTGCTAACCAATACTCGGCATCTTCAAAAGAGGATCCCCCTACAAAAATATATGGGTTTAATCTTTTATACCTCTCTATGTAGCCTGGTCCATCATGGGAGGAGCTGGGTCCCGTACCGGATCATACGTGGTGGTGTCGGGTGGTACTGTAGAGGAGTAGGGTCGTACTGGGGTGGCTCGGGATTCTCTCGTTGCAAGGGTGGCTCAACTTGTGGTAGTGGGAGAGGGTCACGTAGCTCCCTCATTTCCTCCCAACCGTGCTGGGTAGCAATGAGTTTCTCTAGCATCTCAAATATCCTGTCAACATCTTCTCTAAATAAACCATCTCAGGCTGCTCGGTTTAGTGGGAGTCTTCATCTTCTCATATATCTGTATCTATATTTCATAAGGAATGGTTGAGTGATAATCTATTGTTTTGGTCTTTCCTAGGGCTTTTGTATAAGGAATGAGTCCGATGAATGCGACTCTGATACCAACTATAACGACTCTGGAAATATCCAAAGGAAATAAAAGATAATTAAAGTATGGAAGCGTAGTAAATATTCAGGGTTTACATTCCTTACACAAATAACTTAAAATACCAAACAGTGTTATGGAATTCACCATTTTGAAAGAAACGCAAGAATAAGAAAATAAATGGAAAATAAAGAATTCTAGCATCTACTCGCAATCCTCTTGCGGATCGAGCTCTAGAACCTGGTCATCTTGATCTAAAATGGTTAAATAAGTAATGAGCTACACTAACCCAGTAAGGATATCACGTTATATCACCGACACAGAAGTAAAGATTAGTATAAAATCAAAACATAAATGGAGCACTATTTAAACCAATACATTTATTAAAAATAAAACCATTTATCGTTCACTTACCGTAGTGGGATTCATAAAAATAATCTATAGAGACAATAATATTATACAAATCATGATTTAATGTATAATCAACAATCATAGTACACATTATAAATTTATGTCTATCATCAATAAATCCACAATAACTATTGCTTTTTTTACTTGCCTGCTGGTATCTATGAGAATTCATAGGGATGTCTCCGCTACACGTGAACTCTTTTATTTAACATTTTTAATCACGAGTCGTCCTCATACCCCATCCGGTATGAGCGCCAATTTACCCAAACCTCATACTCCGTCCGGTATGAGGGTGAAGCGGGTCGTCCTCATATCCCGTTCGATATGAGCACCAAATTATCAAGTCTCCATACTCTGTCCGGTATAAGACAATGTTCACGATAGGATTCCCTATGTACCTGGTCCGTCCACCATCTCCCAAGATATCCAGTAAGGCTGTCGTTTCATCTATTTATTTCATCATACAATTTTTACCGTTTAACCTTCATTTTTCCTGATTCAGCAGTAAACACATAGGAGAAACCATACATGCATTCAAAGACATAAAGTCAATTAATAAGATACCATCATGCATATAAACTGTAAAAACAATCAACAAGCAACAGTAGATAATTTTCAGTTCTGCCTCTATTAACAATCCGTAATTAATTATGCACATTTCCTAAATTCACAGAAAATATCATATTATTATTTATTTAGATATCAATTCTATGATAGGGAATAGAGTGAGGATCCTTACTCGATTTGATGCCCGAAAAGTCAAGCTGTTCGACTGCGCCTACGGGTGATTCTGGGGTTCTCTAAATTTTTCTTTAAAAATTAAAATACGCTAATAGTACCTACAAAAGCCCCAAACAAATCTAAAATAAGTCCCAGAGCCCACTTGACCAATTTCATAATTCTGGCACGGCGGCAGTCCACCTCGGATCGGCTGTTTTCGGCCGATTCTGCATTGATTCCTGCGAGAAAATACATTAAAGAGTCTCGATTGGTTGGAAAAACACAAAAAACTGAAACTCATCGGCGGCAGGGCTCTCCAGTGCGGTGGCTCCTCCGGCTCACGTTGCAGTTAGGTATTTTGCTCCTGTCGACCTGTAGAGAAGGACACGCTGATCACAACGGTTGAAAAAATTACACATAACGAGAATCGGAAAGGCCCTCATCAGAGGTGTTTTGTGAAATTTTTCACGGCGGTGCCGCTGGACTTTACCGGCGTTTTTCAGCTAATTAGCTTGTCTTTTTACTCTGATTTAGCCATGAGTGTGCTTAAAATTGAATTTTGAGCAAAAAGAAATTTTTTTACATTTTTTGGCGGTTGGAAAAAGCTCCGTTGCAGTGGCGGGTGGCAGAGGTGTCCTTCCCAGCGGCCGGGTCTTCTTCTCCAGCGAGGGGTTATGGGGACTAGTGTTAGGGTTTGGTGCGAATAAGAGTTATTTATATTCATTTGCTTTTAATCTGGATCATCCATTGCGTTTGATCTTGACCGTCCGATCGCCTTCAAATTTGGCTGTCCGATCGTGTTTGGAGAGAGAACGCATCTGGACCGTCCGTGCGCGCGGGAACGAATCTGGGCCGTTCGGTCGCGGGCACACGGATCGCCCGCGTGGCCTCCCACATGGCACCGCGTCAGCGTCCGCTGTCACACGATGCGTTCTGATCGATCGAAGTTGCTGATCGGGTGTCCCACGTGACAGAATTTTCCTAAATTGCATTTTGACTTTTGTTTTTCGATTTTTTTTTCAAAAATACCGTAAGAACCCAAATTTTTACTCATTTTCCCCAAAATTATTTTTAATTTAATTCTGTATCAATTTTACTTCATTTTAACTCTAAATTAAAATAAAAAATTGAAAAAAATTAAGAATTTATATTTATAATTAAACTCTAAATTACAAGAAAATTAATTTAGGGTGTTACATAATAAATGTTATTTGGTGATAGTCATAATACTTACAAATTTCACATTATATCTGTCTTATTTTGTGAATAACTTAAAATAAGCCCACCAAACTAAATATGCTTGTTAGTTAAATTGACAAGATTATATATGTAAGCTTAACTTAACCCATCATGGCGGATCATATAAGGCTAATTACACCATCATTATATTCATTTGGCCTTAATCTAACATAAAGTGATGTTAAGTGTTTGTTTAACTATAACTTTTGCGTTTGCGAAGTACTCAACGCCTATAAGTGAAAGTGTTTTTTTTAAAGCTAAAATCAAAATATGCTTTTGAAAGTTTGAATATAAAAGGTAAAAATAATCTCTTTTGAGAAAAAAACTTTGGTTATCAATATTTTTATTTCAAAATTAGCTTTAATTAACTAAAATAAATTATATATCATTTTGTTTACTTTATTCAACTATTATCATTATTGTCTACCGATTATCACCCATCATTTACTAGCCATCCTTTGTCTCTAACTATTTGTGCCCTCAGCTGCCATCCAAATATTAACCATTGCCCTCCATCACCAATTGGTTGCCATCCACTATTATCTAGTGCCAATTGGCCGCCAACTTTTGTTAATTAATCATTCTTTATCGCTGGTCAGTCGTCGCTTACCACCTGTTCATTGATGCCCACCCTTCATTGTTTTGCCTATCACTCACGGCCACCAACTACTTTTTATCGTTCATTGATTGTCCTCCACCACCCTCCACCACCCTCCACCAATCTTCCTTCGTTTTCGACCACTTTCCACCACCCTTTGCCCACCCTCTCCCAACATGTCTCAATCGCTTCTGATTACCCTTCACCCTTACTGATTGCTTTTCACTTCTTATTTACTGTCATTTACTGATCAATTTTATATGCCAATTACCTTTTGCTATTCACTATTGTCTGTCAACCGCCAGTGGACTTTCCTAGTCTTTCATTGCCCACCAACTACTATTGCTTATTGTAGGTAGTTGTTGCCATCATTATAAATTTTAATGTTATTAAAATTAAAATTTAAATAATTTTTAAATTTAGTATTATTATGCAAACAATAATTTAAAATAAAATTTTATTTTTAATTAATTTTTAAATATATAATATACATTATTTTATGCACAAATATATATTGATATATTACAATATTTAATATTGTGTATATAGATATATTAATATTACTATATAAATAATAAATTTAATATAATTTATATTATTTTAATATCTACAGTCAAATATACAACATTTATTTGTTTTATTTTTTTATATTTATTAAAAATATAAATATTAATAATTATTTTAACCAAAGACTCAACTTTTATTTTTTAAGATTGTAATACTTTTTACAATTATTTTTATTAAGCAGCTAACAATTTTGGATTAAAAACATATACACTTAAAATAATTTTAACAACACTTTTAAATTTTTAACAAAAATTAGAACTGTTGTCAAATGCATCGTAAGTCTAAACTTGATCATAATCTAAAAAATAAAAATAAAAATTAATAATAACAATTAAATTAGCAAGAAATCATAATAAAATCAATTACAAATACTGATTACTAGACTTGGATAGCTTTCTTATGATTAATTTAATTTAATTTATTTTATTATTTTAAAAATGATTTATTTATATCATATTAAATTAATTGCGGTTTTAAATAATTTAAAATCCAGAAAATTTTTAATTAGAGATTTTTCAAAGTGCCAAAATTTATATATTATTATTTAATTCTCTTTTTAAAAAATTAATCTATCCATATTTTCTCGGGCCCAATTGATAGACGCAATTGACCAATTAGATTAGCCCGAACCGAAAGGGTAAATGACGCAACTTCCCGACCCAAAAGCGATTCTCTCTGATTCAACAAAAACCCCAATCTTCAAACCCCAGCAAAAACCTTCGAATCCATCCTGCATTCTCTCCCACTTTCTCCATCAAAGGCCATTAACAACACTGCTCTTTCTCCTGATTCAAATGTTGACGATTTGAGGTTCACCGTTACAGGAAAAGAAATTCTCTCTGTTTTTTCCTTCGTGTACAGAAAAACACAGTTCAAACCTTACGGGTAGCGAAAATGGAAGCAGTGCAAGGAGAAGAGTTCACGCTGGTGGCAAGAAAGCCGCATTTCGGACTCCCGACGGCTTGTCCAACTTGCCTACCCGCTTACATCTACCTAAAGTTCGCTCGGTTTCCTTTTCAATTGGCTTTCAATTCCATCTACCCTGATTCAGGTATTCCTGCTTCAGTTCGATGTGTTCATTGAAATTTCAGTTCTCACTGTAACAAGAGATTAGAGTAGAAGTGAATTTATTATTTCGGTCCATGGATGGAAGACAATATGTGTTATGGAGATTTTTATATGGAGGGGATATAACAAGAAGATTACGAATATAAAATCAGAATAGTTGACATGCTTGGAAATTAAAGGATCTCATTGATAGTCCCATAAGAATAGAAGTAGGTGATGGATTGTAGCTGGAGTACTAGGTTATAAGACCGTCTGGAAGTTGTATCCATCTTAGTCCTTGATGGGCAAATTGGTTGACTTTTAAGTTGGTTTATGCTCGCACTTGGAATTTTGGATTTTTGCATTTTGCTTTCACTTGCTAGATTGGCTGTTGTGTTGACGATCTGCTTTCTTTTCCATGTATTTTATAGTTGCAGTATTCCTGTTTAAACTTTTGTATCGGGTTCTATTTGCTTCATTGTTAAATAAGGATTCGTTATTTTTACTAGGATTTTTTATTTTCTCATAATGATAAAAGAATATCATATGTTGTTCTTATATTGTTTTCATTCTTCCATCATTCTATAGAATGATATTAAAATAATGCTTTGCTATTTGGTTGCATGAAAAATTCTGCATCACCACTGATGGTTTTTGTTTCAGTTTAAAATAGGATTTGACAGGTAAAGAGTTTATCCTATTGACTTAGTTCTTTTAAAGACAATACTTTTCTTTCTTTTTTTTTGGGCTCACAAAAATTATATCGGGAAATGACTAAAGTAAAAGATGTCTCAGAATTACTCCTCAATTGCTTGGTTGTTAGTTATTTTATTTGATTTAGTTGCTTTATTGATGTGTATCTGCTTGCATTTACTCAGGCCATTGAGCAGTGTAATTTCAAGCAAGCAGACATAACATTTATGACTTTTTTTTTTCGGTTAATGATTTGGGTGTCAGATCAAATTCCTTATATTGAAGCTGGTACTTATGTGGCTTACAATAATGAGAATGGTGGAGTAATTGATCGCATGAAGCAAGATGGAATTCTCGATTTGGATACTGAACTCCAGTCACTCCCAGAATGGATATCGATGAAAGCAGTGGTTACTTCCTGGCTTGATGAGGCACTCATGTACGAACTCTGGATTGGGTGTGATGGAACTTCGGCTCGCAAAATATATTATTCTGATCTTTCATGGCCAATTGGCAAAATTCTTTTTTTAAAGCAAACATATATATTAAAGCAGCGACTTGGGATAACTAAAGAGAATGCAGAGCAAAGGGAAGAACAGGTCCTGCTTTTATGTTGGTCTCTTTATTATGTTCTATCTTCTCTTGCCTCTTTGATACATTGCTAAAACTGTTTCTTTCTTTTCTTCTTTTCAAGATTATACAATTAACTAAGTTTTTTTGGGCTTGTCCACTGATTCCTGTTTAAGTAAAACTCAAACAAATAGTATAAGTCATTATATTGCACAAAGCACCATTTGCAACTGTAAATATTAAAAGCTGCATAAGTTCAGCTCAAACTGAGGGTAACTTATTGCTTTCAGAGAGCACATAGTAGAGGAATCTTAGTATTTCTTTGTTTCCTTCAGTTGACATCTTGACATTCTTGTTTTTTTTCATCTGATATTTTTTCTTTTAATTTATGGACAGATATATCACAGAGCAAAAGTTGCATATGGAGCCCTCTCAACTAGGTTAGGCGAGCAAAATTTCCTCTTTGAGGACAGGTAATCTTCTGAAAATCTTCCTATACATGTTTGGTACTTATTAGAAGAACTTTAAGAAAGAAATTGGATTAATTCTTCAGTAAAGACAGTAAGATTTGAATTTTTCTCCCTCTGGTGCATATGCACATTGTTACTTCATTGCAGGCCATCAAGTTTGGATGCGTCTTTTCTCTCACATGTTCTCTTCATTCTGCAAGCATTACCAGTGAGTTATCGTAGAAATATAAACAATATCTTACCTGTTACTCTGTTTGAACTTGTCATCATTAATAGTGATTGACATATCCAATTGGATCATATCAGTAATTATTGAACAAACTCAAAGTGAATCCCTGAGCAGATAGATAATTATCTGCCACCATTGGAGTTTCATGAGGGGTCTAAGAGCATAAAACTTACTTACTGCTAGTTGCTGAAGTAAAAAACCTATATTCTGTTAATTGGAAATGATACTTGATAGCTGTTTCCATGTAGTGGTGAGTGTAAGTTTAAAGGTGTCCTGTAAGTTTCATGTCCTGTTCTTTCACTTATTAGCTTCAGATTTCTGAGTCAGCAAAGAGAGGGATCGGTTTTGGTAATCTCTTTTAGCAAATAGGAGCAGATGTTGTTCTCAGTTCAAGTCTTGTTTGCTTAGACCTTTTACAATACCCCATGTATCATCCATATGAAATGTGATTTAAGAAACCAAAGTTGGAACTGTAATAGACCAGGATTTCTCCAATGGGTTATCATGAAGTTAGGGATCAGATGTGCCGAAATTGATGGATGACATGTTATCCAGCTCCAGATGTTTATTAGGCAGAAGTCAATTCCTTTAGCTGATCCCTGGTAGTTTCTTCTTTTGCTAAGATGTAGTTTTCTGAATGACCGGATTGTGCATCAGCTAGTCTTGCCGGACAATTTTGCTCATTGTTTCTCTATTTATTGTGCTTTTAGATCCTTACAGATATAATGATTTACCTCATAAAAGCTGCACTGGGTAAAACTGGTATCTGAACTTGCATTGTTTTTAATGATTTAATTGGGATAATAAAGTAATATCTAAAAGAACCTGATATTTCATGTTTATGATTATAACTGAATTTAGATTATCTAGCTTTTATCTCATAATGGCTATATTTCAAGTTATTTTTGCTATAGTTTAACCCTTTATATCCAATCACGAATTATTAGGAAACATCAGTTTTACGGGGCAAGCTTTTGGAACACAGTAATCTTGTAAGATATTCTGAAAGACTAAAGATGGATTTCCTAGAAGCTGGTTCATCATCATCTTCTGTCCCACAGGCCCACTCAGTACCTTCACCATCTTCAAGAAAAGGTGCCTCAAATTGGAGTAAGATGCTTAAAACATTGAAATTCTTGTTATCCTTGTTGGTCATTGTACTTCACATTTTATTTGATTTGTCAATTGAAACAGATTTTTTTTAAAAAAACTTTTGAAGATGATGAGAAATTGAGATATCAGTTGAATAACTTTCATAGTTGAGCTTAATTCGCATTCTACCAGCATTAATTGGTTTTCCCAAAGAATGATACACTATTTGGACAAAATTCTTGGTCTTATCTTTTTTGCTCCTTAATGTCAGAGTACAACATAATTGAGAGATTTTAGGAGTCCTGGACTCCTTTTTCTAAATCTTTTATTGGCAATAGAAGCTAATTTTCTCTGAGGTATAGTTATAGCTGGAACCATGGCACAATCTTTCCTTTTCCTTGATGACTTTGCTTTTTGGGCATCTTGAGTAAGATATAAAGTTAATGGGCCATATGCTATGGGTGAGGGGAAATGTGAAGGATCTGGAGAGTCCTCAGGGAAGGGGGCTCTATAGTTGTTCCCCAAAACATGCTCAGATAAAGTGGTCTGCACAATGTATTGGGATAAGCACTTTTGTGAATTGGTGGATTTTGGGCCTCTCTTTGCTATTCTCTATTTTATGTGTACGTCTCTTGCATCTGCTGTTTTCCATGTAAAGTCCAGTATTGAATGACTTAAAGTGACTTGGTTCTTCAGGCGCAAGCTTATTGTGAACACATTTTTTGTTTTCATTTTCTCTTTGTTAGGTTCAAAGCCTAAGAGCAAGCCTAAAAGGGAAAAAACAGAGGAGGAAAAGACCTTCAAAAGAAGGGCCAAATACTTTTTGGCAGCACAACTGCTCGCAGTTCTACTTTTTCTGTCTGTCATGGGTGGAAATGATTTTGGTGAAGCAGAGTTTGAGAATGATGATGATGACATAGCTTATGACTGAAAGAACAATCATATCACTCGGCACTTTTCTTGTGGTGATCAACAAAGACTAGCTTCATGTATAAGAATACTTCTCCTTCAAAATTTTGTAACTTTGACACAAATTTTGGAAAATAAATATCCATAGGAACTATGTAACATGAGTTGTGCAATAGAGGGGGTAATCTTTTTGGTTGCTTGGAAAAAAAAGACGTGTGTTGGATTATCAATATCTTTATTTATTTATTTATTTTTGCTGGGTAGATTCTAATTGATAATAAATATTGCCTTTCATTTGGTTCAAGGAATGAAAATGAAGAATAGATATTTTCATTCACCCTGTTATGCAGAAGTTGCTTGTTTGTATCTGGGAATGTCGCAGCAAGTGCTAGTTACCAGTGCAGCAGTGTCATCGCAGCACCTGGGAATGAGAGTCATAAATGGCAGGTGCAGATGATGGTGGTAGTGGTGAAATGTGTTATGTGAATGGAATTGGAATGGGAATGGGAATGGGAATGGGAACAGGAACTTTTGCTATGGAAAATTCCTTGTCCAACTTTTTAATAGAAGTATTGAGTGGGAATCATATCCTCTCTTTTCTTTTTGGGGCAGAGGATGAGTTCAGCAGAAACATGAATGTAGTCCTGGGCGAATATGCTTAGTAAGCAAGAAATAGTAGAAAAAGGGTCAGTGTCCTACAAAGCCATATAATGCCTTAATGTCAGGGCCCAGGGTTCTTCTCCTTTAGCGGGTTTCTTTTAGGTTTTGTCAGCAGATTCATCATAAGCGAGGGTCCCATGCGGCCATGCCCACTTTTCCTTGCTAAGTAAGTCACTAACCTCATCTCTACTTCCTCCAGGTTCACCAGTTAGGGTTCAATCCCTGGGTTATATATTCCTATTAAATACATCATAAGGCATAAAGCAATAATAACGATGATGATGTTAGATTTATTTATTAAGAACATTATAAGTTATATAATAAATAAGTAATTTGAGCACTTCAAATTTACCTATATGGTAAGCATTCTGTACCAGTTAATGGTAATGTATTATTATATACCAGTAAAAAGCTTTATGCAAAACTTAGAATGGTTGATTGTGTATTTTGGTTCTCAGTCCAGGTTTCAAGTGTATTTTGTAAAATAGAAAATTTGATGATTATATTCTTGTTCCTGTCATATTTCATTTCCATTTTTTCACTAATAAATAAATACATTTATTTAGAACATGATGGAAAAACCAATATGCAACTCAGCAATTACTACATTCCCTAATTCCTGTATTTTTTACAATTTGAAAGTCTCCTGTATCCAGCTTGGTCATCTTGCTAATACCAGTGAAGCAAACTACAATACAAGCATGACCTGGATATAATTATACCTCTAAACTATCTTGTCATGGTAAGATGTACTCGTGATTACAGTGGCACCTCTATTATCCATATAATTATACCTTCCAACCCAACCAAGAAAAGAAAGCCTAGGTTATGATGTCTTCGGTCTTCGTCTCAGAGAAATTATCACACAATCCGGATCACAGTCACCTTAAAAATTTTATTGACTCACCTCAGTTCTTTTTCTGGAAAATCATTGGTGGTTTTCTGACAAGAAACCCGACATGTTTTGCCAAAATGCTGAGACGATCCAATGGAATTGAAAGGTAAACTATGTCAATCATGCTCCCGGAACATGTAATATTTTCTCATCTGTTCCCACAAGAGTTATGTGGCCACTTAGCATTCTCCCACTTCTTAACAAGCTCTGCGTATCCATCAGCAGAAGCTAAGGCAAACTCGCTTAGTGAGCTTGTTGCAACAGACATTCCAGCACATAGTACTCTTACAGCAACTTCAGCCATTTTCTCTACAGTCATAACATCTCCAACCTCTCCAACCTCAACCAGTTCCAGATTTCCACTTACTTCATCCCCATACCTTTTAGACCCTATTGGGACCCGCTGAGTCTCATCCTTCAGCTGTTGTAAACACAGAGATCCCATTCCAGCTGCAAAGAAATCTAGTCCATCCAGCACTGGTTTTTCATGGACATTATCAAGGAACCTTGACCACTGAATAAAAAGTCCAAATATTGGAAGTGTTCCACTAGATCTATGTGGAGAAAATGGAGGTTTTGATGCATCAGAATCGGATCTCACACAACGAAGGAGCCATCCAGTAAGTGCTTGCACATAGGATTGCTGAGAACTGACCCATGATTCAAAGCAGGCTCGCCAGTTCCTAAGCTCTTTTTCAAGATTGGCTGCTGACCGTGCTAAATGATGAGGTTCGGTAATTGGCATTGAGTATTTCCTTTTAATATCCAACTTTGAAGGTGTGCCTGCTAGTAAAAGCTTTGCTTCATCCAAGGTCCGCTTCTGTGTTTGATGACACTCTGCCATTACTTTCCACATCCTAGCTAACCTGCAAGGATTATGGATTAGAAGAATTAGTTTCTGCATGGAAATGTCCATCCTTTACCTCAATCCAATTGTTCATCTGCAGGCTGTACTAGTTTCGACTTTGAAGATTTTGATGATAATGAGAAGATAATAGAGATATTCAGATACCTACTAGGTGCCAAGAATGCAGGAAATCGTGATTAAATTATTATTTTTCCACCGATAATCTGAATTTAGCGTTCATACCCTTGTATGAGTTCTAGAAGTTGAGGCTGCAATTCTTCATCCCTTAAAGTTTCAATCCTCTTCGAAATAGCTTCGACTGTGTGCATGGACACCTTTATCTGGGTATGCAGATCTCTAATCGCCATCCTTGTCTTGTCCATAGAAGTTGGATCCTCTCCTTTGACATCTTGGCTTCGTAGTTGCTTGTGTTTCTTCTCATATGCAATATGAACTTTTTCTCCTGACTGGTTTTAAGTAATAAAATTGAATCAGTTTCTCTACATTATCCAAGAGCATCATTCCTACCATGATAAACTCCACAAGAGTTACTTTGACATATCATGTTGTCATCATTCCTACCATGATAAACAAAGTAAGTAAATCAAAGTAAAAAAAAAAAATGAAAAATCTATATAATTCAATAAACGTGACCTAGCCCATAGGAGGATGTATTTTATTTTATTTTATTTTTTTAAATAAAAAGTTTGAAATGTATGTTAATATAGGCACCAAGATGATGTCACCCGTGTACAAAATTTACAAGTTAATTAAAAGTGTATTAAAAAGGTTGTCTAAATCCTCTCCTAAAAATACAGATGATGATGACTCAATAAAAAACCGAGAGTCTAAAACTAATTGTTTTTAAGAATATAAAAACCATCAACATCTTTAAACCTATCAAAAACCCTTCTATTCATTTCCTTCCACATCACTCAAAAAAATAGCAAGCGGAATAATCTCCATTTGTTTCCTGCGATCACTAATGCCCTTCCAATCCCACAACTTTTCCCTCACTGAACCCATCACCCAAATTTCTAAAAGTAGCTAAAAATTCTAAAATATCTCATACCACTTTGCCTCATGAAAAATCCTTATTTACTAGTATTTTTTCATCTTGTGAGATAAAAAAAAAAAAAAAAAGAATTGCAAAAGACATTTCATTTATTGAAGATAAAACCCTTGTTTTTCATTTGTAAAATATGCACAAATTCCAGTCATGTGAATTCAGAAATATACCCTGACTTCCTGATATAGTTTCTTCTCCCAAGCATATAGCCTGTCAAGTGTTGATTGATGGCTACCAGATAACATGCAAGTCTCCTCCGAGATGTCACTACTGCTTTCATAACCACCTTCTTTGGAATTGGAAGAATTTATTAGAAACCTTGACGAGGATGATCGAGATGAAGCTGAACGGATCAAAGCAACCGGATTCAACATTTTCATGGCTGCGAAAGAAAATTGTCATGAGTAATTATCCTCTGACTTTAAACATTGGTCATCGTGAATACTAGATTAAAGGATGATTATATAATGTGCCCAGAAAGAAGTTGTCTCGATTAGCACACATATCGAATGTGTTTCGAGTTTATTCTATTCTTGTTTTACTTCCAGATGCTAGTTATTTCATATATAGAATTCAGTCATTATTACATATTTGATTATATAATTTAACCACCTTTATACATATCTTCAGTTTTTTACAATAATAAATTTGTATTCATACTTGTCAATCGAGGAATCACAAAACATCAAACTTGAATCGAACATTTATTAACCAAATTCGACCTTACAATCTTTTTTGGGGCTGTCATAATTTAGTTCTTTGTCAAAAAATATTTGAAGCGGGAACTCAAATAAAGAACAGGAAACAGAAAGAGATTAATGGCTTGGTATCTTCAATACCTGTAAGCTCACTAGAGGTTGATGAAAGCTGAGCTCTGCTAGCCTCTAATAGTGATGAGACTTCATTGGCAGCATTGCAAATGATCACGAACTGAGTTTCAAGATCCTTAATAACTTCTGCCATGCTTGTTGGCCTCCGGTTGACATACACGGTGAAGCCTAGTGTTTCTTCCTTGGCATCTTGATCCCCAACTGTCATTTCTTGATTTCTGACTTCAAGTTGTCTGGGTGCAGTTTGTGCTCGTGACAATTCAATGCTCGCTCTACCTTGGGATTGCAAACCTTGAGCATCATGCTCCAGTTCACTTCCACTATCAGTTCCATTATCTTCCTCCTCATCTTCATCAACATCTTCAACAATAACTTCTTCTTGACAGCACTTAGTATCAGTTTTAGACCTTTCTTCACTTTTATTTATGTTACTTGGTAATTCTTCTTCTTTTTCTTCTTCTTCTTCTTCTTCTTCTTCTTCATCTTCTTCTTTGTCCTCTTCAGTTTCATCTTCTTCTAAATCGGGAATTCCTTCTTCCTCTCGAACCTGCCTTAGGCCTTGGATGTCATCATCCATAACAGCCTGATCGAGACTATCTCGAGTATGGTATCCATAGTAGTCCAGGGACGAAAATGGGTTCCAAAAGAAATCCCACTGTGAAGTTTGAGGAGGAGAAGGGGGGATACTATGTCTGTTATTAGGGGAGTAAGAGAAAATTGAAGTGTTCATTGGTGAGGATTGCATTGCAAAAAAACCATCCATGCCAAAATGGTTAAGTGAAGAATAGGTTTCAATTCTCACTGTTTCGGGTGATTGAGGCCTCTCCTCAAAAAGAATACCTGGGTTATTTCCACCTGATCTTAGGTAATGAATTTTCATGGCTGCTTTCGGTTCAGACTGGATTTGTGGTGGTGAGGGCTTAGGTGCAATTGAGATAAAACCAGGACTTGCTTTCTTTACAGGTGTAAAGGGTGGTGATATGAATGAATCTAACAAGAAATCATGAGGCTGCTCATCACCTTCGATATAATCACGAAGAGCTGCAGAAACTCTTTTCAATGATTGAATATAAGCGATATGCCCGGATGCAAACTTAGCTCTTTGCTCCAATGCCTGTTTTATGAAACCTTTTCTATCTTTGCAAAGCTGAACGGCCTCCTCATCATCCAATTTTGAAGTAGAACATCCCATTTCTTTACAGTTTCTTTTCAATTTCCCTTACGAATTTTTCAAGCTTGAATCAAAATGCAAGTTCCACGAGTACACTCTTGTGTAAAGCACTTGACTCATAAGGATTTTAACAAGGCTGCCAAAAAAAAACACACAAAGAACAAGAAGCATAAAGGAAAATGTGTAAGGAAATTAAAATTCCTCATAGATCAAGCTCAAAACAGTTAAAAAATTCCTTTCATATCTATGTTCAAGTTCTTCTGTTGTGCTTTTCTTTACTTTCAAGCTATAGATGGTTGAGTAGATTACAAACTTAAATAATAAGAACAAAGCAAATGAGGATTCTTTTTTTTTTCGGAGCCTTTCTGCCATATCCTTAAAGAACATAAGAATCCAGCTTCTTCAAAGCTTTGTTACGGCTGTGTTTGGAACAAAGCTAACAAACTGAATCTTTTGAAATTTATTGGGAAGTTTACACTTAATTCAAATATGAGGGATGAAAAGCCCATTAAATTAATGAAATTCCAAGTTCTGAAATTACCTACTAACTCAACTTTATCATTCTTGATTTACTCCAAACATATCATAACTAACAAAGTCACAAGTTTTAATGGGGATAAAAGTCAAAATAACTAAGTATGCACAAAGAAAAAAAAATATTCTAACTCAAAGAGGTAAAACAAATTTGCCAGAACTGTTCTACAATGGGATTCTCATGAATCCTTCCAGAATTGCTTGTATACTCGGGTTAAGATGATGATCTATGTATATTAAGATCTGTTAGAAAGATTAAAACTTTATTGTGAAATTTAGAGTAGCAATCTAATTTGAGAAACAAAGAAAATTCCTCAAGGATGACTCTTTCTTTAAGTGCTTTTCTTCTCCAAAGATCTAAAAAAACCAGTCTTTTTTTTTTTTTTTGAGAATAGTCATAGTTCTCAAAGCTTAAATCAGGAGAGGAAGAAAAATTGACTAAAGACTAGGGCTTCTCTTTGAAAATGGAAAGAAGATGAATTATCCACCTTCATAGAACAGATTAACTATTAACAGAGACAAAATTCTCACTTCCAGAATCAAGGACAGCAACATAAAGAAGATAAGTACAGAGGATTCAAACGCGGGACATAGTGCCGTTCTATGGAAGAAACTTAGTAGGAACAACACCGAAAAGTTACCCACATTATACACAAGAAAAGCAAAAAGCTCACAGTATAAAAAAAACTGAGTGAAAAACGAAAAACACCACCGGGTTCCGTCCATGAAAAGAAAAACTTGGAGGAGTCATACAAGCAAAAATATGAAATCCCATTTCAGAAAAGTTGAAAATGGATACAGAAATCTGGAAAACAAACCTGAAAAACTTAACCCATATTTAACTACATATGTACATAAATATATGAACAGTGTGGAGATTATTAGTTTTCTTGTTTAACGATGTACAATAATGTTGTTTAGATTGATGATAAAAAAAAGTGTGATAATCATGAATCATTTCATACCTGTGAAGAATTGCAGGCGGGAATGGAAGTGAGCTACTTGATCAGAGAGAGAGAGAGAGAGAGAGAGAGAAAGAGACGTTGAGAAAAGCAACGGTCAAAACTTGGTGGAAGAAAGAAGAAGATGAAAAAAAAAAAAAAACATAAAAAAAACAAAAATATAAGTGTCTGGTTGGAGAACTAACTAAAGCAAGAATAAGATGGAAGAAACAAGGAATATGACGGGTCTCTGTAAATCCCACTATTCTTCGTTTTTATTTCGAAAATGCCACTCATTATCTCTCAAATTACTGTTGTTGATTGGATGGACCATCATTTACACGTCTCTTTAATGTTGATTAGTAATAATTAATTAACGACAAATTATAATAAACAGGTGTTAGTGTAATGGTTATTAAATAATTTTTTCTTTTTTCTATTGCAGTTTTCTATATATACATATATATATTTTGTGCTAAGAAATTTAAGAATTAAAGCAAAATTTTATTCATAAAAATTTTCTAAATGGGATTATAATAAAATTTGAAGTAAAGCTGTTAAATTTTAAAATATGAAAATAAATTAATATGATAATGTACATAATAACTATCACTTTAATTTTTATTTTTATTTAAAAATTTTAAATAAATTAAATTTCCTTGGAATAAAATTAACACTGAAAAAAGAATTTGAATTAGAGAAACATCACTTGATTGAAAGTTAGTACTGCGAAGTGTGTGGACCCCACAAAATCAAACGAGTTTATGATAAAGAATATTAAAAGTTAATTGACAACCGTCAGATCTTTTCTAATCTGATTGCGTCGCAGCAATGTGGGGCCAACACGTGTTGAAGCATGCGTTGCACTCAATGCACACCTGTGAGCTGGCATTTAGTAATTTCTTGAAAAATAAAGGGCATTAAGGTAATTCCATAAATTTGTAAAAAGTAAAATTAGATATTAAAAAAAAAAATGTAAAGCGTTTTAAAAAAGCAAAAAAAAAAAAAGTCGGCTGCAAAGTAAAAGAGGGAAGCCGGTCCCATTTAAAGATTAGGATGCCTCGTTAATGGTTTCCCTTCCAAATGCCCCTTTATTTCATCGTAATAACAAAAATGCCCTTCGCCTCTTCTCTCTTGCTACTTTCAAATATTTGGAACCGTCCTTTATCTTCCAACTGTTTTTTTTTTTTGAAAAAAGAAGAAAAAATCATTTCATTTAATTACATGGATTTAGAGGAATAAAATCTTAAATTAGCGGTTTAAATTTTTTTATTTAAATTAAAAATTATGAATTTAAATTTTATTAAAAATATAAAATTAATTAATTAATAAACAAACTAATAATAATTAATTTATGATATTTAATTCAGTATTAACTTATTAATTTATTAATAAAACTATGATAATTAAATTTAAATGAGTAAATTTATTTAAATTAAAATAATTATAATAAATTGAAAATTTTATTTATTTATTTTTTCATAAAAAAATATATGAATTTTGAAAGTTTTTTCATCTCTTTAGTTTATGATTTTATTGACAAAATTTCTTGAGTTTATATATGTAAATAAAAATATTATTATTTTTTATTTTACTAAAAAGTATATAAAAAAAGTTTTACTATTTACGTTAAAATTGTTTTAAAATAATTGTTATAAATTTAGGATTAAATTAAAATAAATAAAAAATGTAGGTATTCGTTTGAATCAACCTTCAAATCAATTGACACATGCCATGCTTGAGACCACAGCGTCCGTCCATGTCGTTTCGCGCCCTTTCACTCTTTCAAAACTTCATCCGTCTCTGCAACAACTTCTGGTCGAGAAACTGCTAAAAATCTTGAAGAAATGTGGATCAACCAAGTTTGTACAACAAATTCACACACGAATGCTCGTAAACTCCATCAAAAAAGAAAACTTTCTTCTTTCGAAAGCCATTGACCTCAACGACTACGCTTATGCCTCCCGCCTTTTCTCGCAGATGCAGGAACCAGACGACTACGCTTTCAATGTCATGATCCGCGGATTAGCCACCACATGGCGAAAGTTCTCCGCCACTCTCGAACTCTACTATGAAATGAAGTTTCAGGGCTTAAAGGCAAATAATTTCACTTACCCTTTTGTGTTCATCGCGTGCGCGAATCTTCCGGCGCTGAATCATGGAAAATCCGGCCATTCATCGATTTTTAAACTTGGGTTGGAAAGGGATGCTCATGTTAATCACTCTTTGATTACTATGTATGCTAGGTGTCATGAGCTGCGCTGTGCGCGTAAAGTGTTCGATGAAATTGCTGAAAGAGATTTGGTTTCTTGGAATTCAATGATTTCTGGTTATTCCCAGATGGGTTATGCCAGAGACGCGGTGGGTTTATTTGGGAGGATGAAGGAGCAGGGTTTTGAGCCTGATGAGATGACGCTAGTTAGTGTTCTGGGGGCATGTGGGGACTTGGGGGATTTGAGTTTTGGGAGGTGGTTGGAGGATTATGTTGTGGAGAAGAAGATAGCAATGAATTCGTTTGTGGGGTCTGCGTTGATTGATATGTACGGAAAGTGTGGGGATTTGATGTCAGCAAGGAGGATATTTGATGGAATGAGGAAGAAGGATGTGGTCCCCTGGAATGCCATGATCACGGGGTGAGAAATTCTTTTCTCTCTTTGTGGTTGCTTTGCTATCTGCCGTTTAATTAATGGCTTTCTTATTGAGCTGGATTGGTCAATATATAGCTTATTAGCCAAAGAAGTTTTACTGATAATAGATGATGGTGAAACATTATTGTTAGCATTATCGTTGTGAGAACACTGGGTACTATAATTATCTGTTGACTCTCTTGTCTTGAGATATTGTAAACGAGCTAATTTGCAATGTTCCCCACCTTCTGGTTTAAGTTTGACTAGTTAAACCAGCTGGATTTGAATTTTGCCATAATCTGTCTGGGAACTGACTGTTAAAGAACATTTGGTTTTTCTTGGGAGCAAAAAGGTAGTGCCTTCTATCACATTAAAGGATAGCGATTGAATTAAAGAAATACAAAATGCAAGTAGTGAAGATGAGCTTTTCCTGCATCTAATGGTCCAAACGTTAATTACAAGTAGAAAAATACAAAAGTAAGACTGAAAAACACCTAAAAACGTTGCTTTTTTCATTTCCTTCTCTTTCCGTCCTTTCTATACTGATGCATTCTGGGTTCCAGTTTGAGGGCAAAAAAGTGTACTGCCATAAAATCATGGGACATTTGGTTTTAACTGTCAATAGAAAATCATACCATAAAATGATGGGACATTTGGTTCAACTGTCAATAAAATTTCATGTAGTCGTAACTTAGTGCACCTTCGGGTCAAAGTGATTCACTCTGCGAATCATGTTTGATTTTTCTATCTGTTGTGTTCATTTGCTAATATCCATTCCGGTTATTCAAAAGTATTTGCCATTCTTCTAATCTGCCACAGATATGCACAAAATGGAATGTCAGATGAAGCACTGGTGCTGTTTCGTGGCATGAAAGAGGCAGGAATAAGCCCAGATAAAATCACATTGGTTGGAGCATTATCCTCATGTTCTTCAGTTGGGGCCCTTGACATGGGAAAATGGATTGAGGTCTATGCATCAGAAAGAGGTTTGCAACATGATATCTTTATTGCTACTGCTTTAGTTGATATGTATGCAAAATGTGGGAGTTTAAACGATGCATTAAGAGTTTTTGAAGACATGCCTGTGAAAAATGAGGTTTCCTGGAATGCCATGATCTGTGCCCTTGCTTTTCATGGTCAAGCCCGAGAGGCCTTATCACTATTTAAGCGCATGTCAGAGGATGGTGGGACTGCTTGCCCAAATGATATCACATTTGTTGGAGTACTTTCTGCATGTGTGCATGCTGGACTTGTGGATGAAGGTCGTGAATTATTTTATCAGATGAGTTTATCATTTGGGTTAATCCCAAAAGTTGAACATTATTCTTGCATGGTTGATCTTTTGGCACGAGCAGGACATCTTCAGGAAGCTTGGGATATTGTAGAGACGATGCCTCAAAAACCGGATGAAGTCATATTGGGGGCATTGCTTGGTGCCTGTCAGAAGCGCAAGAATGTAGATATTAGTGAGCGGGTGATGCAACTACTTCTAGAGATTGAACCTTCAAATTCTGGAAACTATATTATCTCGTCAAAGATATATGCTAACTTGAGAAGGTGGGATGATTCAGCAAGGATGAGGATATTGATGAGACAGAGAGGTGTAACAAAGACTCCGGGCTGTAGCTGGATTGAGATTGGAGATCAACTTCATGAATTTCGTGCAGGTGATGGCCTACAACATAACTCAATGAATATTTGCCAACTGTTTAATTTGCTTATTGAAGAAATGAAGAGGGAAGGTTACATTCCAAAGGTTGACCGTATATAATGATGAAAAGTTGACTTCTTACTCACCATTCATCAATCTTATGAGGAACTGGAACATGAAACTTTTCATGGAAATTTTTTGGAACCTGCAAAGGGATCATGCAGAAGTACAAACTGAGGTACCAAAAGACAACCGGTCTCTCTTTTGAGGATAAAAATGATAAGAGTTAAGGAGGATGCTACATTTTGAAATCTAATATTTTGGTACCAGTGTAGCCTAGCAATTCTCTTTGGTCATGACCATTGCGGTTTTCAATTGGTTGAGGAATATCTAGTTCGGGTTATAGCTACTGCTATTAAAGAAAGTTCATGGCTACAATCTCATTGAAATGCAAACAGAAAGGCTCCTTTCCACAATTGCCAATAACACCTACGAATATTCCATGAGTTTGAACCTATGACCTCTGTGAAAAGAATGAAGCACTCTACCACTTCGGCTGATCTGGAAACAGAAGGACTCATTTGCATTGGTTAGGCCTGGATGGGATGTACAACTTATTTGGTTTCCTGGTCATTCTGATAACAATGCATTCTCATGGCATGTCATGTGGATTGTCCCAAGTTAAACAATGATGTTCGCATGGATATCTATATATGACGGGGATTACATAGTTGCTTGACAAGTTGGAGAAAGCCCTTTAAACTTCAATGGCTTTTGGTTTATGGTTGTCAAGAGCAAGACACTGAAATTAGCTATGGAGATTAGCAGCTGTTTGAAGTGGACAATATGGGAATTGGGTTTTAGCCAACAGCAACATTTCAGGCCTAAAATCTCACGCTGAGGCAAAAATCACAATGCTAACCTACCCTCTTCTCAGGTAACCTTTTACTCTCATTTGGACATATGACTATCTTGTTTGCCAGACAAATCATTCATATAGCCCATACTTGCAGGGCCTCGAAATTTTGAGCTCTCTTGGCTGGATCTCCATGACATTTTCTTTTAAAATTAGTAAGAGATAAACTATAATATTGTAATACTACAAACTCCAATTCATATAGCCCATATCTGATTTGTTTTAAAGTGAATTTTTAATAATTTTTTAATACAAATATATATATATTTCATATTTCAAAAAATATAGATGATCATGCATTAATTTTCAAAGTTTCAGTGACTAATTCATCTTGAAAATTTACATTAAACTTTTTTTGAATAATTAATTTAGGTTTAAGATGACATGAGTAGGCATGTGGGAGAAAATGGAAAGCTAATGGAGGAGACTGTCATGAACTTCAATTCAATATTCAAATCTTCCAAATTGTATTCTCTTAAATTCACACGTCCTTCCGCGTCAGTTTGTTAGGTTGAAATCATTATTACTGAGAATGTGATGATAAATTGTAATTAAAAATAAATCATTTACTTTACTATAAGAAATTCACAACTAAAAAATTATAATAAACTAATAATATTTCATTTTGGTATATACATGATCATGTCTGTATAATTTAATTATAATTAATTAACATTAAGATTACAACTATGACTACTATAACGACCTTGAAATATTTAAAGGAAATAAATTATAAATTAAGTGCGGAAGCAAAATGAATAGTTAAGATTTACATTTTTTATACACTAACTTAAAGTATTGAATAGTGTTACGAGAATTACTCTTTTGAAAAAAATACAAAAAAATAAGTAAATAAGTGAAAAATAAATAAAATTAGCATTCTACTCGCAACTCTTTTGTGAGTCGGATTCTGGATCTTCATTCTCTTGATTTGAAATGGTTAAATAAGAAATAAACTACATTAGTCTAGTAAAAATATCATGCTACTTACCGACATAGAAATGAAGTTTGGTAGAAAATCAAAATAATTAATGGAGCGCTTAATTAAACAAATACATTTATTAATAATAAAATCATTTACTGTTCACTTACCGTAGCGCGATTTATAAAAAATATAACATATAAAGACAATAATATAACACTTATCATGATTTCATATGCAATCGGTAACATGTACACATTATAAATCTATATTCAATAAATCAAATAACAACTGTCTATTTCCATCAGTTTGCTGGTATCCATTAGGGTTCATAGGGATGTCCCATCTATGCGTGAACTTTTTCCTTTAACATTATCAATTAATGGGCGTCCCCATATCCCATCAAATATAAGCGTCAAATTACTAAACCTCAATATTCCATCCGGTATGAGCGTAAAATGAGTCGTCCCCAGACCCTATCCGATATGAGCATCAAATTACCAAGTCTCGATACCTTATCCGGTATGAGACAACGTTCACGGTAGGGTTCCTTATTATACCCAATCTGTCCACCATCTCCCAGGATATCTAATAAGACTGCCGTTTCATCCATTCACTTAATCACACAATTTTTTCGTTTTTTTTTTAGTCTTCATTTTCTAATTCAATGGTAATCATATAAATCAAACGATTCATGTAGCGTCCGGGGAAATTTGAAGA